TTACATAATTATTTGTACAAACTAATCTAAGCACTAATTTATAATTCGTACGACTTGACTAAATTAATCTACTTATTACTATAAAACTATAACAAATAATAATAACAGATAAAAATATATATAATATATAGATGATAATACATATAAAGAATAATGAAATGAAAATAAAAATAAGTGAAAGAAACAAGTTAACACTAGGAAAGAATAGAAGGTAAGTATTTATTTATAAAAATAAAAAATAAAATAAAAAATAAAAAATAAAATATACCTTTGCGTAATTGCCGCAATTCTGAATAACTATAAACTTCACGAATTGCATGAACTCAATTCTAAGATCTTTATTATGCCCACTATGAACCTAAAAAAGAAAAAGTAAATATTTATTTATTTATAAAATAAAAAATATAAAAATAAAAAATCGAATTTACCTTTGTCCATCTGCTGTGATTTCAAGAAGTCGTAGCTGTAATAAAAAATATTTTTATTAATTTAAAAAAAAAATAAATCTATTTTAAAAACTGTAGTTACAAAAAAAATATAATTAATATTAATATCCGTAGCTACAAATAAAAATATTAATATTAATATTTTTTTTAAAAAAAATTTTTAAATAGTTCTGATGAATAAATCAACTAATCAGAGTATCACACGTATCTAATTTAAACCAGATTGATAAACTAGATCAAATTATAATAAATATAAAATATCACACGAATGATCTAGTTTCGAAAGTTTCAACTAGGTCACCTGCAGTATCCAGATAAAATCAGATTATATAAACTCAGTTCTAAGTTCTAGAACTGAATTTGAAACTGAAAACTGAGTTGAGAAAATTCTCAGCCTTTATATACATTATAATTTTAACTACTAAGCTAACTTGTAATTTGACTGTAAACTTCACTAGTAACTATGCTAATATCCTGACTAGTATCTTAATTATTAATTAAACTTGTACTTTAACTGAGATATTAACTTGTACTCTGGCTTGTACTCTAACTTTGTGTTCTAGTATTACAAATTAACAAGAATTTAGAAATTTATTAATTTAAGTAATAATATCTAATTTGTACTATAGACTATTAAATTAATCTACTGTAATATTATATATCGACATTGCTAAATTACACCAGTGGTGTTTAACACCAGTGATTATTAACCAATAAAATAAATACGTGATTTACACATAATTTAATATAATATAGTAAACACATGATTCACTGATTTAATGTATTATTGTATTTAATAAAATATATGCGTTATACTCAAAAGATTAAAAAAAAATTGTGATATATTGCCTTTGTTTATTATAACTTTGCTAAAAAAAATGCCATTATAATACATTCTTTTTTCACTTTCTCTTCACAAAAAATATTTTTTTCCCATTTTTCCTTCATGAAGTTAGCCAAAAATAGTCTTTCCTTTTGTACACATTCGTGCATTATGTCTTTTTTCGTTACAAATACTACACACTCTCTTAGTGCTGATTTCTCCATTTATTAGGTCATTAGACCTATTATCTTGTAATATTTTTTAGGCCTTTTTACGTTGTACTTTCTTACAACTTGTATTATCTTGGTCAGGTTCAGATGTCACTCTTTTTTTACCCTTCTGATTATACCTGCCACCCAAATTCAAAATCCAAATGCCAAAATCCCAAATCCCAAATTTCAAATTATGATTAGTATTTTTTGTTGAAATCCCAAATCTCAAATCTCAAATACTAGTAATTTGAGATTTGGGCAACACGTATACTTCTAATTTGCATCCACATGACCGAGATCTTCAGAATTCCAGCTGTTCTCTTTGTTACTTTGGTCCGTTTCGATCATCTCCCTTTTTTTACCCTTATTATATTTAGACTTCCTTCCTTTTTTCTTTATGCCGATAGGATTGTTGATAGTGAAAGTGAACTCGGTAATATTATCCCCATTTTTAACTTGACCAATGATTTCAGATTCCATCTCTTTAGTTAACTTCAAATGAAGTTCATAAAGTTCTTCCATTCTGCCCGTTGCGATGGCCAGATTCAGCGTTTTCTTCATAATACCAAATCCTTTTCCATACTGCTGTTTCTGGGTCATCTCTTCACGAACCTTCTTGGTAAAAATCTAATTCCCTCGGATGATTTCTAAGTGTGAAAAGTTGACTTCAATATCATGTTCCACGGTGCTGAATTCTTGACCAGAAATTGTTGAAATCATTTTCTTATCTTGAAAACGAGGATCCTCTTTTATAATCGAGTCTATATACCAACGTTGCAGAACAAGTCTAATATTAAATTTAGCAGTCAGCGAAACTAATATTACTGCAAAGAAATGACGGCATACAAGATCGCAATTGATTAAAGTTAAACATGTACAGAGGTGTGTGGTGTTATCATATAATACTACAAAATGTTCGCTTGTTTTGTTAATAGAAGTAATACGCCAAAGCTCGTGAATTCTTTTTGAATTAGGGTCCATAATTAATTTATCAAGCTCGATTACGCAAGCGTCAAACATATCTTCCGAAAACATGCCTTCTGATGAATTGGGGTTGGCCTATTATAAAAGAAAAAAATCAATAATAAAGGAAAAAAATCAATAAATATCAAAAAATTATAAGAAATTATACCCTTTCTTCCTCCAAATTAGTTATCCGGCATCGATAATGCATGCTGTGATTCATTTTATTTTGTTGTAGCTTGAGAATTGCAGACGTCAAATAGCATTGACAAGACATATCGATTGCTTTGAAATAATAATCATGATAATTTTCATTTCAGCTTACGGGAAGTTTGCTTATAACCTCCTTCAAACTTATAAAACGGCTTTCCCTCTGTAACAATCTTTCAATTACGGATTCGAGTTCTGTAAGGGATGAAGATCTGTTAATATAATTTTTAATAATCCTGTTGTATGATTCTACCCTTTGTATGTTTTGTATATCAGCATTAAATGCACAATGCGTAAAGCACAATATCCAGGCTTTCCGACAGAGATAAAGTTGACGTTATAAGTAGTTAGCGGCATCATCATATTCGGATAATAGTGTTGCCTATTTTTCTTCGAAAAGCGATTCTACACGGCTATTACGTGCGCGGTAGAATGCTGCAAAAAATTCGCTCCATTTTTTGCTGTGGTATTTGTCCAAAAAATGTTTTTCAAGATTTTTTTGAATGTGGAATAGACAAAAATAATGTTTTGTCATCGGCCAGGAGCTATTTATTGTGGCAATCATCGCTGGGTCAGCATCTATATATAGCAGACGTGACGCTAATCTACGTGTTGTATTGAGGAAGCTTCTAAATAACCATGTGAAACTATCTTTGGTCTCATCTGAAAGGATAGCTGTAACTACAAGGCAGGAGCGGTTGTGATTATCCACCAAAATTATGACACACAGAATCATCGAATGGCGATTCATTTTCACAGTTGTATCAAGAAGGGGGATGTTGTGAAAACGCGACCATAATTCTTGTTGAGAGGAGTTCATACAGCAGAGTCGAATAAGGTGGTTATCTTGGCCTTCAAACTGCGCATCAACATGAAAAGTCAGATTTTCTTGCCATTGGATCATGAGATCAAGATACATTGAACTAGCATCACTTTTAGAATGAATTTGATGGCGACGAATAGAACTAACCAAATTATAAACATTTTTGTCGTGAATATATTTTTCTGAATTTTTATGTTGTAAAACTTCAACAATCGTACCAGGACGCACACCACACGCCGCAAGTAACTTTATATCATCACACATTTCTGGGATAAATCTTCTATAACTGGACACAAGAGTAGCAATATTTTTTACAAGTTCGTGATTATGCTGGTCTTCGACTTTTGTAATGTAAATTAGATTATCGTTCTTCTGGCGATAAGTGTTGTTAACCTTATTTCTTAATTTTTATATATATATTTTTATTAGCATTATTATATTAGTTTATTAGTTAGATTTCTT